GGAGTCGCTAAAGAGAACCCTGTGTCGTTTTCGAAGGATGCATGGCAAACAACAGTATCTTCTCAGGCTGAGTGCTCAGGAAAGGGCATCTACCCAACAAAAGGTAACCGCGTAACGATACTGGCTAATGAAATCTTGGCTAGGCACTGCACTTGTAGGCCCTCGTAAACGATTGGCACTGTAGATCGAAAGTCCCTTCTTAGAGCCAAATCTTGCCAACAAAGACTTGACAAACTACTCACAAAATAACCAGATTCGGGGAGAAAAACCTAACTGAATCAAGGTGATCAAGTAAAGTCTTACTGAAGACAGTTGGGTTTATTTTCATAAAAGAAACTACTCACAAGGTTGCTGAAAACTCTTCGACAGCCCACGACCGGTTTCGCCCTTCTTGGGGCTCCTCAGATAGGCGCAGTCCCCGAGTCTCCGTCAACCTTATGTTCTACTTGAACCCAAATTGAAGAAATACACTCATTTGCAAATCAATTTGGTTTTCACGGGAGACTCAATCGAATCTCTCGTTTATGATGTCCTCCAACTGAGAGATTCAATTGAATCTCCCGTGGAAACCAAATTGATTTGCAAACGAGTGTATTTCTCGAAAGCAGTTGAGTTTACTTCGAATTGGCGAGTTCGGATAGCCATGAAAATTCCCGTGCGCAGCTCCATGACAGTCTGGTAGGAATCTGGGATTCGAACGGGTCTTACGTGAGGCTCAATTTAATTTCAACATTATTTCGGACCGACGTTTGGTGGAAATCATTCCAGGAAAATAAAAAGGCAGAGAAGTTCTGCGCACTTACCATGACAAGGCTTCCTCCGAAGTCTGAAGAATTTATTGAATCCACAAGGAAGGAAAACGAAGAAGCTTTCACTCAGATTTGCGCCTGATGAAAGCAGTATTTCTCCCCCACCGGCGTGCATATCGGTGAACGATTGACAAATAGGTTGCAAAGTTGGGTTCCGACGCAAAATTCACATCAAACTTGGCGCAAATAACAATGCTATTTCCATGCCGTTTTTAGTGTTTCACAGATGAAAATTAGTCTCAGTTTTTCCAACCGAATTTCAGTCACATTCTAATTTTGCAGTTTTTCAAGTGGAAAATAACCAGTGAAAGTATTGGATTATTCCAGCATAAATATTCAAAGGTTCGTCTCTCTGAGATGATTGCAGTTCAGTGTGTGCTTGTGGACTTCAAATCAGGCGAGTCAAAAAGAGATTTATGCACCCTGTCACGCTTTGGTTATTGAATTTCCCCGAAAGATGGAACGCTTCCACTAATTAACAAAAACCATACACTTTATTCAAAGGTTAGTTGGACCGGCAGTGAGAAGAAAAGGCCTTCTAGACTTCACTATCCACATCAATCAGTTTGAATACGCCTAACAAAGCCCCTCAAATCCTGCCTGCGGAGTAAAAAACGATGGCTTAATTAACGTACCATAGATGAACGCATAGGGAATGATGCACCTAAGTTTGGTCTTCCGTTATTCTGAGCGTGTGTTAAACGCGAATTGTGTGCATGCTAAACGAATAAGGAAGTCTTCTAGCGTTACCGGTGCACGTGGTCGTATGGCGTGTGCGTCCGCACGTTCTCATTTATACGGAATACGACCTTCATAAAAGTAAATATACGTACACCCCGACGGCCCGGATAGCTCAGTCGGTAGAGCATCAGACTTTTAATCTGAGGGTCCAGGGTTCGAGCCCCTGTTCGGGCGACCTTTTCCTGGAATTGTAAAATGATATCACAGTGACAGAATTTTGGTTTAGTCCTTCCAGTAGACGAATCCAACGATGGCCAGAGGCGCGCCAGATTCGCAGCGTTGTAACCACTGATTCCTTAGATGCATACAAGCCAAATACATTTTAGCTTTCTGAAAGCCAGGAAAGTCCTGGTTAAAGTCATCTTTGAAACTGTTTTGTTTGCATACATAGCGGACTCAAGTTTCATGTAGTGCGCGAAGTCCGGTTCTCTCAAACTGAGTCATCATCCGCTAACTCTTTGCTCTAGTCTCTCATTGCTGAGAATGATCGTCGACCGGTGGAAGTAGTGCGGCGGAGAATGTAGTGGTCTGCCTACCCAATAAGTTACTTTACCAGGAGTGCGTAGCAAAGGAATAGAAATAACAACGCTAGATTGGGTATGCAATAATAAAGAGGTCAAGTGGAACAGACTCACTAATAATAAATAATAATCCAATCGTAGTTGTTCAGGGATCTTCTTCTGAACAGTTCCCACATATAATAGGTTCCGAAGATAGTCTGAAGTGTTTTGATACCAGAGCTAGCACATGAGACTCGCGAATGACCGCTGCAAGTGAGAGTAAAATCAGAAGAGAGAGTCGAAGCAAGTGACCATGTTTGTATTGTGTGAAACAGTTTAAGTGCGCGCTTATGCAGTTTTTCTTATTCAAACAAAAAACGATTATGCAATTGACAAAATACGTAACGTTATAATGGAAGACCACAAGAGACAAATTCGTTACCGGTTCAGAAAGCGTGAATTATATTCTCGAGTTTGGTCACTCCGTGGAGGCTGTAAAGTATGGGAGCACTGACACAGGTGTAATTTTTCGGTATCTGGAAGGTCACAGAGTTTAGACAAAGATTACGTAGGACCTGTTGTAGTTGCAGGTCTGATTGACATCTCCGTTCATATAAATCTCTTTGGTTTATTTATTGCTGTATATATATTTTCCCACCCTGTTTTTATTGTGATTATGTCGGTTAAACTGAGTTAGAGTATCTTCGGGCTGCGTAATCCCGCCGTTCAAATACAACAACGTATTACTGAACGGTATCACGTTCTGCTGACACGCTGAATTGTCTGCCGATAGATGACCGTGGGGAAGGGGCACCCGTTTCGTCGGACGTTTTACTCTTCCGTTTGTTTTTCCTCTCTTGCTGTGCATGAGATAATGCAGTTCCTGTTGAATGTCATTCGTGCATTATTTTGAGGGTTGCAGCCCTCCATATCCATTTCACAAGATTTGAACGTGTTCGTTCCTTTTTTAACTACATATTCCGTACTGGTCAACTGAATGAACGTGTGTTCATTCACCCTTTAAGTCGTACTACGTGCAAGTGTTTAGTTCTTCCGGCGAATGATGAATTTATTTATATCCCATTGTTGAGCTTTTTGGAGACTAAGACTTACCATTGACCATCTGCTCTCAGCCTACCCTCCAAAAATCTGTTGCTAATATGAGTTTACTCATGATGCTGGTCGCAGTGTTCAAGTTCTTGGACGCTGAAAAGTTTGGGATTGGACGCAAAGGATCGTTTTCTGATGAAAGAACAATATCTCGGAGGACCTTCGATGACAACGACGACCTAGAACGCGCGGTGATAAACAGAAAGGGCACGTTTTCAAACAGAATAGGCTGCATTGTAACGGTCATCAAGAAGTTTAGGCTGCTTCACACAGAGGTGTAAGCGAGAGTTAACGCTCCTTTAGAAACTCACTCAGAAGCCGTCAGATTCCTTGCAGTGCTGAACTCCTGCGACAGCACTTCGGAGCCACAGACCTACATTTCACAGCACTAAAGCGTCCACGAAAGGCAATTTATTCTTTTGATCGGTATATTCTTCAGAAAACGCAATAAAAAGTGATGGAGGTAAAAAACGATGGGTCCAAAGAACTTGAAGAAAAGGGTTTCCTAATTTGACCCCTCCACGAATCTTCTCCTCATCTGTCGAGAAAGTTGGTGGCTGTAATTTTATTTTATTAGAAATTTTATATGTATTTTGAATTAAGGTCATCGGTCGTCTGTGATGGCGCGGATCATTGAACAAACCGATGAATCCAGCGATAAAACATGCAGTTCCGATAGGTCGTTTGTGCCCGAACCCTCAACCTAAGAAAATCCTGTGCAACTCGGCTGCGTTTCGAGGTGCACTTATTCCCATTCCTCTGTTCCTCCTTAGGTGAAGTGNGCAAACGAGTGTATTTCTCGAAAACAGTTGAGTTTACTTCGAATTGGCGAGTTCGGATAGCCATGAAAATTCCCGTGCGCAGCTCCATGACAGTCTGGTAGGAATCTGGGATTCGAACGGGTCTTACGTGAGGCTCAATTTAATTTCAACATTATTTCGGACCGACGTTTGGTGGAAATCATTCCAGGAAAATAAAAAGGTAGAGAAGTTCTGCGCACTTACCATGACAAGGCTTCCTCCGAAGTCTGAAGAATTTATTGAATCCACAAGGAAGGAAAACGAAGAAGCTTTCACTCAGATTTGCGCCTGATGAAAGCAGTATTTCTCCCCCACCGGCGTGCATATCGGTGAACGATTGACAAATAGGTTGCAAAGTTGGGTTCCGACGCAAAATTCACATCAAACTTGGCGCAAATAACAATGCTATTTCCATGCCGTTTTTAGTGTTTCACAGATGAAAATTAGTCTCAGTTTTTCCAACCGAATTTCAGTCACATTCTAATTTTGCACTTTTTCAAGTGGAAAATAACCAGTGAAAGTATTGGATTATTCCAGCATAAATATTCAAAGGTTCGTCTCTCTGAGATGATTGCAGTTCAGTGTGTGCTTGTGGACTTCAAATCAGGCGAGTCAAAAAGAGATTTATGCACCCTGTCACGCTTTGGTTATTGAATTTCCCCGAAAGATGGAACGCTTCCACTAATTAAGAAAAACCATACACTTTATTCAAAGAAGGTTAGTTGGACCGGCAGTGAGAAGAAAAGGCCTTCTAGACTTCACTATCCACATCAATCAGTTTGAATACGCCTAACAAAGCCCCTCAAATCCTGCCTGCGGAGTAAAAAACGATGGCTTAATTAACGTACCATAGATGAACGCATAGGGAATGATGCACCTAAGTTTGGTCTTCCGTTATTCTGAGCGTGTGTTAAACGCGAATTGTGTGCATGCTAAACGAATAAGGAAGTTTTCTAGCGTTACCGGTGCACGTGGTCGTGTGCGTCCGCACGTTCTCATTTATACGGTTCAACCAATACGACCTTCATAAAAGTAAACAT